TTTCTATTACTTTTTTATAAACTTGCTTTAGCATCCTACTCAATCTTGTTTTTTAAAAATTTTTTATGTTCTTGTTTGAGTTGATTTTTTTATAATTATTTGTAATATTTCCTCAGATGGTGTCTATTGCCATTGTGGTGAATAGTTAATTCTATATTGATCAATGTTTAGTGAAAGCTGCTATATTGGCTGTGCTACCCATCTATGTCCCCCTAAACTCTATCATTTCCAATTTTTAATTTTATTTGTTTGATTTCATTTGCTGTCATAGTTAATAGTCATTTTCAATTATTTATTTATTTATGTATTGTTTATCACAATCTATTCATTTACTGTTGATTATCTATTACCTATTTATCACTATTTATTCATTTATTGTTGATTATTAATTCTTATATATATTTTAACTATTCATTCATTTATTTCTTTTATTTTCTGATTTTTTGGGTGCCAGCAGTTCTTGCTGGTAGCCCTTCTGTTCAGGATGCTTCCTCTGCTCTCTCTCTGCTGATGTTAATAAACTACTTACTCTATTATGTTTAACGCATTTTGTAAAATTATAATTAAATTAAATAGCAGTCTGATGCGAGTCCTTGTTCAAGAAGCAGTGTCAGTATCCCATCTTCCTTGCAATCCTGTCCTGTGTTGCTCCTGTTGTCAAGTTCATGCATGTCCATATCTATGCTTTTGCTTAACATAATTATTGTTTGAAATTTTTTAATACAATTTATTAATAATTTATTTTAATAAAAAAATGATAAATACCTTGTCTTAGCTAGAACTGGAAGCCTAGAACCTCCACTCAGTATTGCAGTTGACCCAAGCATAGCTAGATAAAAAAATTGCTTGCTTTTCCCAGTTCTGGGATCTGAGCATGCGCGACCACACCCAAAATTGAAGCACATGTTTCTTTAATTAACAAAATGGTGGCATGCAGCTAAGATGGTACAATCCAGCAATCATAGTATCACTTCTTCCTTTCTTGGATAATGATCTGATGGGACATGGACCTGCGCATAGACTGTTGGAGTTGAATGGTGTAAGAATTATCATTGTAGCACCAGCCAATATTGAAATACACACCGACAATTGGATTGACAGGAGAAATGATGACTAAGATGAAAAAAGGTGGCTGAACAAAACAGCCGTTTTGCCGATTTTTTACTCTCCTCTTAGAAAAGGTTTAGAGCCATGCTAGTGGTACCACTGGAGTCCTCTGGTCAAGATGAGGTCCTCTAAGACGT